AAGGGTATGTTCACAGAGTTTCTAATTTCCACATAAACCACTGGCTGAGAGGAGGAACAAGAAAATGAGTGCTCAGACCAGGAAGGAGCAGGCACGAGGGGATGGTGTGCTTGAAGGGGAAATTTGGGGGGGCTGGCTTGTGCATCGTGCCTGTTCTCAGGCACAAAGCTCGGATATTTCAGGCTGCTGGGCAGCAACGGGCCCATGAGCCTCCCCTGGGGGCTCTCAGTGCCCCGAGGTAAGGCACGAGCATCCCAGTTCAACCCACTGAGCATCAGCAGAGAGCTAGGAACTGCAACCATTTAAAAGCCTTTGAGCAGAACAGCCTTTTCAAGCTACACAGAAGCACAGCAGTGTTTTCCTTAAACCCTAGAACACTATCTGTAATATTGTTCTTTCCTTGCGCTGTCACAGGCTTAGTCTGGCACGGATACACACCCAACAGCAGCTTGCTGGGGGTAAAGCCCTTCATACCAGCCAGCCAGGCTTAATAATTACAGCTCCTAAGAACAGTCCTAATGCTGTAACACTGTCCTTAAAAAAAGCCAAGAAGTCATTCATAGCTTGCTTCTACCAACAGCAGAGGAAAGCAGGTTGCAGCTCTCCAAACCCATGAACCCCACAGGGAAAGGTGCAGCCTTCTGCAAAGGCACAGAGCTCCCATGCTTCTGACCAGCTTGCTAATGGTTCTGTGTTAAACCTGATCTAGCTAAGTCAGTAAAGCGAGGGTACAGCTCCACACAGCTTACAGGATCTTCCCCTGTGCGTTTTTTTGCTGGATCAGGCTCTCGCTGCCCAGCCCCTTCAGTGCTGGCTCTCGGAGGGCACAGGACAAGCCAGATTTGGGCACAATTCCACAAATCATATCATCCCAGTTTAACACTGCTGAAGGAAGAGGCCCCGCTTACCTCTTGCTGCTCAGGGCTGCACCTCCTTGCTTTGTACTGGCTTCAGGTCCCTCTGTGAACCAATGTCACTCTCTAAAACGGCAGAAAACTAACGCAGTAGAAAAACTAGGTTCAGTATGGTAGATCAGATAACAAAAATGCATGAAAAGTGGCAGAGGAACCACAGAGGCAGGGCAGTGGAAGGTGTGGACAGACACAGAACCAGAGTCGATAAAGCTCTTCCTCCTCATCAACAGGAAAGCATTACACTATGTAAAAGTACTCAAATGGGCTTAAATTAGGGCTCAGCTCTTGCTGAGCTAATCTAGCTTTGGGATCCTGGTGAAATGGAAGGCACCTGGGTAGCAACAGGTTGGGCTGCTCACCTGGGGGAGGAGAAGCCCTGGGAGAGGTGTTGGGCCTTGTGTAGGTACAAGGTGGTCCCTGTTTGAACTGGCATCCTTGCTGGGTGTGAGGGAAGCTCCTCTTCACCTCCAGTAGCAGGTGAGGTTGTGAGGGGCAGAGGGGCGAACAAGAGGCTTTTTGATGTCTTCCTGACCCACACAGCCTCCCTGGCAGGAGCACAGGCACGAGCAGGTGCTGGTGCTGCCTGTGTTATAGCTGAGACTTGGCTAAAAAGCCCATTTTTTTCCACCCAAGCTCAACCAAAAGCAGCCCAGCTCCTTGCTGACACAGGTATAGCCTCTCCCTGCCCTTGGTGCTGTCTCTTTACCAGAGTTTCCACCGCATTGCTTCCCCAGCTGAGCCCCTGCCTCCTCCGAGCCCTTCGTGCTGGCAGGTAAGATACGGGTTGCCTGAGCCAATTTTTGGTCACTTTGTGGTTTGCGTCTTCAGCTATCTTCAGATAGCTTGTTGCCTAAAAGCAATGTTATTGACCCAGCACTCAGAATGGTAGCACTAGTGGTAAAGATGTTAACTTGCTTAGTTAAACTGATTTTTTAAGGGGAAAAAAACCCCCCTCAACATTAACCATTTCATTTACTTACAAACTCACCATGTATCACTGAAGTTTTACTAACTCTGCATCTGTGCCTTACCTAACCATGACTTGCTAATGGTGAAAGAGTAACATAAAAATTCTCAAAGTTAATATAAACCCTATGCAAACCTACTTTGGGAATTTATATGGGATTTTATGTTTACCTCTCTTGGTCTGTTTTTTAAAACACTTGAAAATTAAATCAACGCAGTTCTGTTGTGGCTAAAGCCTGTATTTTAACCCAAACTTTACCCATTATATCAGAACCTGATGAAGATTTGAATGATCCCATTTGGATGGAAAAAGAGACACTGCAGCTGCAGTCAATTTTTACAATATCAATGTGTTAATGATAATGTCTGTATGTTGTTCACTTGACTATCAGATGGAAGAGTACTGGATTCCGTGTTTTATGTACATGGCCTTGCTGGCACTCCCTCCTTCAAAAGAAAGCAATTCCAAGGTTCAAGGCTATGTCTGAGCTCTTATCAAATCCAGAACTACTGCGCTCTCTGATTTGTTACTGTGAATATTTTATAATATCAAAGACACTGTTGGTTGGGGTTTTGGTTTTTTAAATCAACAGGGCAGTCTATTTGAGCCTTGCTAACAGCCGTGCTACAGAAAGGAGAACCTTATTCATTATTTCTTTCCATTTTTAATATCAATGCAGTTACTGAAGGAAACTTTTGGTGCATCACACTTAATTTATTTTCAGATGGAACAAGTGAAACACATGGACCATATTCTGGAAAAATAAAATCTTTTGGCTGCAAAATTAAAACCAACGTTATATGGAACAGTTTTCTATTTCACATGGAATCTCAAGATTTTTAAAAATAATTCAGATTTAGAAAATACAAGAGTTTTAAATCAGTAGATGCTACGGACGTGAGTTTCTGAAAATCCATACCATGTTCATATCATTGAAACTTTATTTCAAAGAACTGATACTCTTTCTTTCAAATAATACCATTGGTTTGATTTGCACTGCAAAAAAATATTGAGAATTATATTGATATAATACATGCATATAAAAACTGTTATGGCAAATTAATATATCATTGTATGAACTGCAAACAGACTGCATTGTAAAGAAATGCTCCGGCTGTTATTCAACAAAATAGTTAAGCATGTGCTCAGTTTTAAGCAAAAAGACAAGATATTTTTTTCTTTGCCTTAAATTTAAGGGACCTAAGTACTTCAAGGGATACCGGGATGTACTTAAAAGAAAACAGGGGAAAATTATTTCTGATGGACACTTGGTGGCAGCTTTTATCTGTAGGCTTAATAGCTGTTGACACTTAACTTCACTGCTTCTCTTTTATAGCAGGGGACAAGCTAGCAAACACAGACTATAAACAACTGGGGTATGTTTTCCCCAGAAGATTTGGTCAACAACTTTCTTTGATCACAAAAATATTTTCCCAGGAATGCTAAAATCAAAATATTTATTATGACAGAAGCAGGCAGATTTTTGTTGTTCCTTTCCTTTTAAGAAACCAACCGAGGAACAAACGTTTTTGTGAGGTTCTTTTTGCAAATTTGAGTGCAGAATGATGGGCAATTATTTAAAAAAAAAAAAAACAAAAAAAAAACAACAACCAAAACCAAACACCCTAATTCTAAAAATGACATTTAGTTCTTTAAATGGGAAAGCCATTGCTAGGACTGGTAAACTTCCTTATGAAAATTCGTCATCTTTAACGGCTCAACAGTGCGATTTGGGTATGAAACAGGTTGTGTGGTGATTTTTGTTTTTTGGCTCCTGGAATTGTTGAAGCAGAGTGCTGAGAGACACTGGTTGAAAGATTTCAGTTCTATATGCTGAAATATCCACTGGACTATAAACGTGGCCCTCAAAGGCCTGGGAATAAAGCTACATGGTGCCTGACGGTTTCGTGGGCTCTTTGGGCATAAAACTTGGAAAGGATGAGGGTCCTTGGGTTCCCAGGGCACAGCAGTGCCCGATAACCTGCCTAATGCTTCAAGACGGGGTGAGCTCCGGCGTCAAACCGCGAATCGCCGAGCTGTGTGGCAGCACATCAGGGTCCCGCTATAGCTGGCGCTGTGCACTGCTGCGTAATAAGGATGGGACCTGTCCCGAAGGCGTGAGATCCGGGTTATGCCTGCAGTACGGAGAACGGGGGGCAGCGTGTACTCCGGCAGAGGACAGAGCTGCCTCCTGGCACTGTGAGCGGGAAACCTTGACGCGTGGCCCGAAAGGCAGCTGTGCTCCTGCCAAACCTCACGCTCGGACGTAGGCGAGCGCTTCTATCTGCAGGTTTCTGGCAGCTTTAGATAAGGCATCCTGTACTGGGAACCCTAAACCGAGGAAAAAGTCAATCTCCTCTGTTAATCCTGAGGGTATTTATTGGGCATTCGGCGCCTTCGTTCCGGGGAGAAGCCTGGCGTTCCGCTTCCTCCGGCGCTTTTCCCTGCGCTCCCCTCCCCGGCCCAGCTAGGAAGACAACCTAAGGCCGCAGACCCCGGCCAGGCTGTTGCTGTTTCGCCCTCGCGCCCCCCGGCCGGGGCTCCCCCCGTCCTCCGGCGGGGGCCGCGCACAGGTGCTGCCGGCCGGGGGGGGCTCAGGGGCACGGAGGACCTGCCCCTGCCCTGGGGCAGGCAGCTGTTAATTAGCGCTAGTCAACCTAAGAGGGGGGCGGCAGCACCCCTTTCCCGCCCCTGTCCTCCTCCTCCTCCTCCTCCTCCCGCCGGCGGCGGGTCGGGGGCG